CGCTCAGGTCCAAATTTAACCGTCTCTGTGGTAAAGTCACGCTCCTGTCACAAATCAAAGGATAAATGTGTCAAGAGAATAATCCTGAAACTTACATAAGAGTTACTAAGAAAAAAAAAGTACCAGAAAAAAAAGTTACTAATCACTTTGAGTACATTTACTATCAGTAAAATTTGAGAAAAAGCCCAACATATTACTCTTCTAAAAAAGCCTATGTGTAATAGTGTATAGTGTAATAGGTTGATTTCACCAAGTACAAGGCAATGTCTACAAAATAAAATAAATGGCTGATGATCCAAGACATGTATACAATACTCAAAATTAACAACATTTAGTCATTGTCACCACCATGAATAGTTTTCCTGGTTCTCATACTTAACTATGAATTTGGGACTGCAAGTAAAGATTATGGGTCTCAAAAAGATTTCTTTGCTTTCGTCTTCTTAAGTAGGGACCAGAACAGCCACCTCCCTGCTGGGCCCCCCCTCGGGCCCCGGGGAAGGCACACCTGGGCCAAGGGTTAGCAAGGATTTATTTAGGGAGCTTCTGGAGGGGCTGGATGTATTCAAGTCAGCCGGGCCAGATGATTGCCAACCTAGAGTTCTAAAGGAATTGGCCGAGGTCATTGCAGGACCCCGGGCTGATGAGTGCAGGACCCCTGGCACTGATGAGCCCAACACAGGCTCATCAGTGCCAGGTCCTGTCAGACCAACCTGGTGGCCTTTTACGATCAGATCACCAGATGCAGGGGTGCAGTCTTCCTGGACTTCTGGAAGGCTTTTGACACTGTCTCTCACCCTGTTCTCATTAAGAAACTGGGGGGCTGTGGTGTAGACACCCACACAGTCAAATGGGTCGCCAACTGGCTGGAGGGCTGCACCCAGAGGGTGGTAGTGGATGGGTCCTTCTCAACCTGGAAGGACGTGGGCAGTGGGGTTCCGCAGGGCTCGGTCCTTGGGCCCGCACTGTTCAACATCTTCATCAGTGATTTGGACGAGGGGGTAAAAAGCACCCTGTTCAAATTTGCTGATGACACTAAGATGTGGGGGGACGTGGGCACACTAGAAGGAAGCAACAGGCTACAATCAGACCTAGACAGGTTACAAGGGTGGGCGGATGAGAATAGGATGGGTTTCAACACAGACAAGTGCAAGGTGATGCACCTGGGGAGGAACAACCGGCACCATACCTACAGGTTAGGGAACTCCCCTCTTGTCAGCACGGAGGCGGAAAAGGATCTTGGAGTCATCATTGACTCCAAGATGAACATGGGTCGGCAGTGTGGGGAGGCAGTTAGGAAGGCCAACCGTACCTTGTCATGCATCCACAGATGCATCTCGAGCAGGTCCGAAGAGGTGATCCTCCCCCTCTATGTGGCACTGGTCAGGCTGCAGTTGGAGTACTGTGTCCAGTTCTGGGCACCACACTTCAAGAGGGATGTGGACAGCATGGAGAGGGTCCACAGGAGGGCCACTCGCATGATCAGGGGACAGCAGGGCAAGCCCTATGAGGAGAGGCTACAGGACCTGAACCTGTTCAGCCTCCAAAAGAGAAGGCTGAGGGGGGATCTTGTGGCCTGTTATAAGCTAGTCAGGGGGGATCAGCAGGCATTGGGCGAGTCACTGTTCCCCCGAGCACTGCCAGGAGTGACCAGGAATAAGTCACAAGCTGGCAGAGGGTAGGTTTAGGTTAGATTATCAGGAGGCGCTATTTCGTGGTCAGGTTGGCTAGGGTCTGGAACCAACTTCCAAGAGAAGTGGTGCAGGCTCCTACCCTGGGGAGGAAGAGGAGGTTAGATGAACACCTTGCTGGGGTCGTTTGACCCCAGTACTCTTTCCTGCCATGGCAGGGAGTCGGACTAGATGATCTGCTCAGGTCCCTTCTGACCCTAGAAGGTATGAAACTATTTACAGAAAGCAATTCAATACAACATGCTGATAGCATAAACAAACTGTAAAGCCTGAGCTCCCTTATGCTGCATTTGAATTAATGCACATCTATGGATGTACACTGCTTAAGGGTTGCCAAAAGCCTGTGTACATGAAAAGAATGTACTTACTTTTAATCACAAAGCAAGTGTAAGGACAGATTGAAAACAATTATGCCAAATTAAGTAGAGGGAAAAGAAAAGGAGATACTGCAGATAGAGTGGATATATGGAACAGTATGCATCAGCCTAACAGCAACTGGAAGCTATGCTTAGGAGCAGTTTTGAATATATGCACCATTTGCTAGAAATGGACAAATGTTTCAATGAATAAAGCATAATCAAGTATTTGGACTACTGTATCTACAATATGTGCAACTTGGTACATTCCAAAGATCAGTCTTTATAAGTCACTGCAGCATACCTCAATAGCTCTGAGGACATCTCTGAAGACAGAGCGCTGCTTTCTTTTATCTACTTTAGCACGGTGCTTGTTTCCATCTGTAGCCAGAGACCTTAGTTTTTGTGAAAGAAGTTCCATGTCTTCATAAGAGAAATCCTGGCCAGAGAAAAAGATAACCTTTCAGTTTCTCTATATAGTTTTGCTCATAGTACAAGGCCATTTAAAGTGTCAGAACTTTTTATTCCCCATGTATTCTTATTTAGGAGAAGACAGGGTAGATTTGCAGCTTATAGATCAACTAAATCAGCTATGCATACATAGCGTAAGCTTTCATGAACTCAAGCTCCTATCCAATTTAGCTGGTCTTCAAAAGTGTAAGTCTACCCTGCCTTCTGCCCAATGTCAGACTAACATTGATAACTACCTCTCTCTCTACATAACTAAGAAATGTATCAACACTTCTTTACAATTGGAACTATGTAGTAAATATACTGTAAAAGATGAAGTGACTAGGGTCTAATTTACCTAAGGGACATCCTCAGTGCCCCAAATTAACAATTATTAACAAGCAAAGCTTTCTCTGCTCAACTTCCTGTTCCATAATTAAGGGGCTCTCAATTTGTCAGAGCTTGTAAATTAAGTTTCATCATGTCATAAGGCTCTGACACAGGAAAGGAAAAATATTTGTTGAGATGGAATTCTTATTTTGGGGGTACAGATAGATTGTTAAGGAGCACTGGCAGCCGATTTACCAAACGTAATAAAATTCATTAACTGTAGTTTTGGAGAGGGAGTCTAGGAATAGTCCCATTCCTACTATAACTACTGGAAATTCCAGAGTCCTAACGCAGCAGTTTTATCATCTTATTCATTAATTTTATGCAAACTCTTAGGAACCATCTATTACCTTTTTGAACTGGGCCTAGCAGCACTAAGTACTTCATCTTAATTGCAATCCCCTGTAAGTACTGTACTCAGTATCTTTTAAGAATTAAAAAAACCATTTTGGTTGCTTGCAGCTACAGTCTAGCTCAGTGGTCAAGGATCAAGTGTGACATTCATTGATAGACCCAATCATTTTACTGTCACCCTCTCTCCAAAGTGACATCCCACAATTGAGATGTGAAGTTAAATCCCCATTTAGAAGGATAACAAAAGCAGTATACTGTTTAGAACTATGCAGATTAAGTGCACTGTGCATCCTGACTCATTTACAGTTATCCTTTCCCTGTTGGACAGCTTTCTAGCTTGGTCAAGGCTGATGTGCTTTGCCAGGAGCCCTTCTGGCAGCCCTCCCAAGCTGTGCCCAGTATTTTCTTCTGTGCTGTCAAAAAACAGTTAAGAAACAAGGTATATTATTCAAATGCAATACAAACAAGTAAGATTGTGCCAAATTAATATTAAGAGAATAAATACTTAACTTTCAGACTAGTTTAAAAGGGGAGTTAGAAAGTAAATAATGCCTGTCATGCAAACCCTGATACAAGTCTCACCTCCAAACATTAAACTGGCTCCAATCTATACCTATAAAATGGCTCAGTAAGACATTACACAAGTCCACTTAATTCTAAGGCTTAACCAGTCTATTCTTGGGAATAGGTTTTCAAGCATCAAGACAAAGCCACATACAAGTCACCTATAGTCATCTCAAAGAGTACACTGCGGCTGTGACAGCATCCAGCAGTGCTTCTGAAACTTGGTGGTAAGCATGAAGGGTTCAGCAGCAAGTATTACAATGTTCTCTCCCCCTGCCTCTGATAGTTTATTGGTACCCAACATTTACATAAGTTTTCTTTGCATAGTAACTCCCTCAACTGTTACTCAGAAAGCCGGTATGTTGTTTTGAAGCTGAAATTGCTTAACTAGTTTTCCAGGGACCCTGGACTATAACCTAGAGGTAGCATGAGGGCTTTTGTAAGCATCTTTTCCAATTCAGATGGTTATACTCTGCCTCCATTTATTATCCTAAACAGTTCTGAAGTCTTATCGATTGTACTGAAGTAATTTTCTACCCAGAACACGGCCAACAGATACAAAAGACTTAGTCATTTATTTGGTACAATATCTGACAGCTGCAACCATCATTCCAATGCAAGACAAGCATTGAACTTAAGTCAGTAAACTTACAGCATCCATTTCTCGTGCTAGTTCAAACAGAAGAGCCAATGTTTCCCCAGCAACTATTCTCATGTTGACATCGTCACAGGATAACAGGCTTGGAAGTTTGTGTAAATGCCTAAAAAAATAGCTGCGTGTTATTTATACATAAAAGTATTTTGTACAATGAAACAATGTGAAGGTAAAACAGATCACCAGATGTTGTTTTCAGGGAAGGCACGCACATTTCAAGTTTTTTCTTCACTTCACTCACTGGGCAGATTGTCAACAGCAGTGTCCATGTGAGAAGAGCATTGATGTGTAGCATCGTGCTGTGCGTACTGGAGATGCCATTAGTGTCTCTTTCCCTCTGATAAGATTTTGTGAATATGTTCTCCAGACATTCCATAGTCAAGTATAGTTCCTGTTAAAAAAAAAGGAGTGTAAGTGGCCAAAATGTAACAGTTAAAATTTTTATAAGAAATGTTATAAAATATTAAGCATGTACACTTAACAGTAATATCTTCAGTGACAATGAAACAGCAAATGCCCAAGCAGGTGATACACTAGATGGGGAAAAAGAAAAAAGGTAGTCAGTGTTTTTGTTTCAGTTTTACCAGGCTTGATAATATCCCCAAACTTAGAGTATTTTAAACCAAATGACATGAAGCTCAAACATCAAGACATGCAAGTGCCAGAAAAAAAAAACAAACCCAGAACTGCTGGGAGCAGCAGCTTCTGCTTGGAAGTGGCTCTTACTCAATATTTTGCTATATGCAGGGAACTATTCTAAAAGAAGTGGAAGTTTGTCCTTCTGTATTTGAGCACCACCATCCCAATCACAAATAATATTCTTTCCTCAAAAGATGCAATTCTGGAAAAACTTCTGTTCATAATTTTCCCATTTTGAATATTCATTATTGACATTTATCTGCATCACAAATGTATCTACACCTGTTACAAGTCAATTTCACGAATCAAGAGGCTGGCAATACATTAGGAAGCCCATTAGAAGTGAAAAGTTATATAGTAAATTATCCTTCAGTTATGAAAGAATAATATACTACATTGACAGATCTGTAACAGCACTAGAGTCCAAGAACAAAATTAATCCAAACTGATGAAATAGGCTACAGTAGAGGCTCAGTCACTGACAAGGGGCTAGTGTTCTGAGGTAATAAGCAGTGGCACAACACATTTTTCTATATAGTGCCCCAAGTAGCACGCCACACACACACACACACACACACACACACACACGCACACACACACTTGATTCATGAAATTGACTTGTAACAGGTGTAGATACATTTGTATATATATAAAATTTTCCCCAGGCAAAACAAAAATGCTCCTGCTGAACACAAAGTCTTCCAGGTATTGACCTGAAAGGTCTCTCCTGTAAGACCATTTCTCTTACAAGAGCAAGCAATTGCAGTAACTGGGAAGAGAACAGAAGCAGAGGGATGCAGTCACCAGTTTTACAAAGAGACAGGGGGCTCTGCCAACCCCTGACAGCTTCTTATGCCCCCTCTTCTCCCCACCTAACTTGGCAGAAGATGTTTGTATTAAAAGCCTAGGGACTGGAAGTCAGCCTTGGGAAGGCTATTCCCAAGCCTGGTGCCTGGCCCTCAGGCTTTAAATGTCACCCCCGCTGCCCAGCTAAGCAGCAGCTATTCCAAGCCTCAGAGCCAGGGCCAGGTATTCTCCCCCCACACTCTGGTTCCTACCCCACAGGCTTTAACATATGCAGCAGTTTAAGACATTAAAGCCAGCACCCCATCAGGAAAGCTGTCCCTGGCACCACATTCCTCATGCCTGTCTTTAAAATTACCTTATGTGCAGCCCACCTTGACTGGATACAGGGCAATTTAAAATCCAAGGGGGTGCCTATTAACAGCCTGCCCCCTTTCGAGGCCCAGAAAAGAACAGGCTGTTAAAGTAATGGGCTCTAAGGACAGGAGTGGCCCAAGAAGCAGTTCTAATGCCTTTTGACTGGAGAGCTTGCCTGCTGAGCTTTCCAGCAAGGGGCTGGTGCACAAACTCCAGCTCCTGGGCTTTTTTTCTTCTAGTAGAATAATTTCAGAAAATTCCTTAAAAAGGTGGACAAAGCCTTGAACAGCCATAGTCTTTCTGCAGTCCCATGTGGTTTGTACTTACTGCTCGTCTAGTCTGGATATTAGCTGTCCCATCAGAGATTATCTTCTTCAGAACTGGTGCAAGGGTCTTAAAGATCTCCTCACTTTCAATTCCTGACCCCAGCTGCACACAAAGAAGACATGCCAACCCTGCAGCTGCACACTGTTCATCACTCTTACCTACAAATTAAAAAAATGATACTATGCATCATCATCCTGTGGATTCAATCATCCCCAATTAATGTAATATGAATTAGTTTCCTAGGACAATGCCATTCATTGACCTTTGATCACTAATGTCTCAACACTGAACAAAAGCAGCTTACCTAAAAATTCAGATTTGTTCAACCTTACCCCTTCAGTACAGTAAACATTATTTACCTTTCTTTATGCAGCGTTCAATGCTATCTGTCAAAGTCATTCTCCGTTCCAAAATGAAATCAAAGAGTATTTTGGAAGTCAGTGCATTTTTAAGACCTTCAAGAGCTGCTTGCCTCGTCTTTGCACTGTTGGAAGAAAAATAAATGGATAAAACTGATACAGAGAAGTTACAACAACTAGCTTTGCTGTTATAGCAGTTTATATTATGCACTTATCTAGCACTTTAAAGTATGTAGTATTTTTATTAGCATGTAAAAACAATGAGCAGGTGCCTGCCCCATCTTTTAGGCAGGCCAATTTAAGTTAGAATTTGATTTATTTTCTTACAACACTTACTCTAGAAGAGAAACAAAGTCCAAGTTGGAGGCTGTCATAAATGCTTTTTCCTTAGCACTGCCAAAACCCTAATAAATCTACCTGCCTAGAAAATCATACCCACCATTCTTCAGGTTGCAATTTTATTTGCCACTAAATTTGTTTGATGGGTAAACAATTGTACAAGACTAATTTATCAGGACATGGGCACCTGGCTGCAGTCTTATGACCCCTGCCACCCCCAGTGCTCCTTCCTGCCCATGGCATGGGGTCGGACTAGATGATCTGTCTAGGTCCCTTCTGACTCATTGATTGTATAGCACAGCTTTGTCACTGAAAATTTGTATTTGAAGTCTAACAAGCCCCAAGTTTAAGTCGGAATGTAGCTTTCAAATATACCATACCTCTTGTCCAATGTAAGGTCAATGAATCCCTTCAACTTGTACTCCAAGTCTTCTTGAGTTGCCTCTTCTTCAACTTCAGGACCTACTATATACAAGATAGCTTTATACAAGTGACCATTACATTAATTAAGTTTAAAGTACTTAATATATGAAATGCTATGTTATGTAGATTTTTAAAACTGATTAAAACTAAGTATCAAACTTCAAACACCATGATTTGAAGCTTAAATTATCACATTTATCAGAGGACTTAGCTATAGAAGTTTGGAATGTCAGAGCTACAGAATGACACCTTAGTCTATTGTATCACAGTATCCTTCTGGCAAATGCCTTTGTTGGCCGGGTTGCTCCAATTAATTTGTACATACAGATTTCAAACTCAATACATTGATGATGAATGCAAAAAATTCTTTTCATTGCCTTGCTGTTCCGAAATTACAGGAATTCCAGTATCCTTAGCCTTTCATTTCGTAGTTAGTGTATTTAGAGAAGTTGTGGCCAGGTTTTAAAAATTGCTTGTGAAACCTGTATCACATTTCCCAATATCTACTTTGAAATTACAAAATACATATACCAGAGGAACTAGTTTTAGGCTTAAAGAGAATTTTGATTCCTTGCAGAGGAGGGGGGAGCTTTTAACTCTCATCTCACTTTATACTTTGATTGGAAACTCTTGGGACAAGAACCATTTTTGTCTTGTGTTTACACAGCTCCTACCACAAAAGGGTCCTGGTTTATGACTTATACATTGTGATTAAGTACCTAAAACCGATTAACTTGGTATTCTGCATTTCTACTTCAGTAGAAAACTAATTAAAGTGCAACAGTTGTCAAAGATATAGCAGTCTATGTTCAACAGAATTCATGTTTGCACCTTTCTGAAAAAACCTTCAGGGAAACATACAGATAAAAATCAAGTACATACCATCCTCAGTGAAGCTAGCAGGGTCACTAAAGCCACTACAGTGGCTCATAGTCTCAATTGATGCATCCTCATCACTGAAAGGCTGCACATTTCTGTGCTGACCACCTTAGGAAAGAAAAAAAAGGACACGAATAATTTTCATGCTAGGGAAAAGAAAAACAAATATTCCACAAGTTACTCCCTCAGACTCTGTTGCCTGATCCAGGAAATATTATAGAGAAGTCTTTCTCCATCCAAAGCTTTTTCTGCTCTCACCACTAGAAGATGAAGGCTCCTAAACACACCCCCATGTTAAGTCACACCCTGCTCTACTCGAGTAGTGTGTCATGCAACAGGTATAAAAAGTTGCTCTTGAAGAGCTAATGGTCAGGAAGATATAGAACATACAATATACCTCAGTGACACTTAAAATATTAAGGCATAGCATCTCCACACCAAGATTATATCCAACTGTTGAGAGCACAATCAAATGCAAGCATTGCTTATGTCTAAATTTAGAAGCAAAATGCATTCCATGTACACTATCAAAAACTATTTCACTAGTTATAATCTCATCTTAACCAATTTTAGAAACAGACATAAATAACATTCCTAACAGCAAGGGCAAATACTTCACTGGAACTATTTAAGGAGAATGATAGATAACTTCCATCTTCCAACATGTTATATGCCCAAGTACAGGGATAACTGGACAAAAATGTCTCTAGTTCATCTAAAGATATTTTAGTTCATCTCTTCTGGCCTTAAATTTGGATTCTAGGTGGGTGGTGGCCTAAAGCAGTCTCGACAGCCTCTGAAGTTGTACCATTACACAAGTTAAAATAGGCCTTTTAATAATAAAAAAGCAATACACTAGATACTTTCTGGAGTAGATTTAGCTATAGCTTTTAAAGAAACAGCCAATAAAAATAAAGGAGAGCCAGTCTCAGACTGAATACTAGTGTCACAGTCTGAGGTCACTGACATTGCAATACATCAACACAAAATCCATGGTGTTGGTGCTCACTGACCTTCCAGTAGCATTTCTGAAGTGGGCACACAAAATGCAGCATGAATACCAATATGTGATGGCAGGTTGCACAATTAGTTTTAATATTCACAGAAGCAAGATTTCCACTGCCACAGAAGTGATCGCATGTTATGAGAGTCATTGCCCCTGCCCCTCCCCTTTATTTCTTAAAACATCTCTACAGTAAAAGCTGTGTTAAACTGGCATTTTATTAACCAGAATACTTTAACCAGAATTTCCAATATCCCCCAATACAAATCCTCACTTCAGCAACTGGAATCTTTGCCAAGTCTATCCAGCAGGCACATCGAGTATTTCTGTTGTTTACATTAGTTATTGACACTGCCAATAGAGGAGCTGCCGGGAATCTGCAGCGGAAGGGGAAAGGGATCTGCACGGAGCAGGGTAGGCTGGGGCCAGTATAACTTCCAGATAACTGGAATTTTTAGGTAACTGGCACCCCCTTAACCTACTTATGTAGTGTAACAAAGCTTTTATCATACTAGTTTAGGAACTTTATGCAATCAAAATCTCTTATGCATTGTAAAGTGTCAACACTTATGGGCAGTGAATACAAATGCATAAGGAAGGGATGGGCAATTATTTCAGGTGGAGGGCCACTTACCGAGTTTTGGCAAGACAGCGAGTGCCACATGACAGGCAGCCAGGGGCAGATATTAATTTTCTAAATTTTTTAGGGGTCCCATGGGCCAAATAGAATGGTCTGGTGGGCCACATCTGGCCTGCAGGCCACATTTTGCCCACCCCTGGCATAAGGTCCTTCCATCAATATACAGCAGAAACACCAATCCTGTAAGCAACCAAGAGGATGCTACCAGCTGCAGAATGTTAGCTACCAAGATGCACTAGACCTGTTCTTTCCTGTTAGGTTTCATTCTGTTTTCTACTGTCTAAATCAGGGGTGTCAAGCTCATTCGGCCAGGGCCAATTTACAAGCTAG